CTTTCCCTGCTTGGAGGGAAACACAAACACATGCCCCAAAGCAGAAGTATTTGAAAAAAATACCTCGTAGAAAACTAACCTACTGCAATCTACCCAAACGCCTGATGAAGAATCTCATTAAAGAAATTAAAAACACCAATAAAATGCTTTTGCCTCAATAAGACATTTGGAGTACGCTCAGCCTTTGGAAACATTCACCATACATTCAATGCCTCTCAAAACCTGTGACATTTTGTGCAGGGGAGAAAGAACTGCAAATGAAAAAGGCAGATCTGGCTGCTTTCAGTAGCTCTAGCTCTCAGGAATCAGATCAGAGCTGAAAAATCAGAACAGGACTTACTATTATAATATCAGTGGATATGATCCTGATGAAAGCTTGAAAGGTAGCCTCATTTCAGGGGCAATGAGGGGAGATCAGATCAGACTTTTCAGCTTTTTTCCCTATGGACAAGTAGATCTCTATAACAAAAACAGCTCACGCAGCCTCTCAGGGATGAGCTGTTGAGCCAGTGAAGGAGCAGGCCAGGCTCATGCTTGATGCCTAGTCTGGGCTCCACTCCGCATCCGCATATAGGTCTAAGCCAAGGGAAGTCAAGCCAGCAAGGATATTTTGGCACTGTTTCCTGGCAGCCACAGTGACCTTGCATGTCTATTATGTATTTTCTTTTTCATGCTCTGTGTATTTAGTCAGCTTTGTTAGCTTATGTCCAATTTTTTGGCTTGTTTCACTATGGCTTGGCTGTACCTTCGATTGCTTGGCTTGCTCAAGTCTAGTATCACTTGATTTGTAAAGCTTCTTTATTGGACACTTATAGACTGGAATCCATTTATGAAAGTTTGTCTTTAGCATTTCATGCTGCTTATGGGCTATTTGTTCATTCACTCATTCAGCTTGCTCAGTATAGAACATATATAGGATTTTGGGAGAAGGGCTGAAAGGGAAGACTGATCAGTAAAGGTCATGAAACCCTCCTCAAAGTACTAGTGTCATTAGCAACTCAGCACAGGATCAATGGCACAGGTTTTTTAAGGTGTTCTGTGGCAGGCATTAGCTCATTTTATGATGTGCATTTTCCTTTCCTTTTCGTTTTTAAGCTCTCTTTCCACAGGACCTACTTATCGTGTCTTTCCATACCTTGGGTGTAGGCAGAGGCTTTTACCTGTTTTACTCTCAACAGACCAAGCAATGCAAAGGACTATGCATAACATCTGCATATCACCCTTCCCCTAGCAAAGACGAGCTACCAGCTATTGCTGCACCCTGCCTTGTGCAGAAGTCTATATGGCACAGAAGTACTCAGAGTACCTGAGCAGGACAGCATACAGTGACCAAGACAGGTAAAGTGCCTGGCCTGGGGAACCTGCAGACTAGGAAGGATCATTTCTGATTTCCACTTCTTCCCTTCTTCCTTTCTCAAAGCACTTCTGTTTGCCTCTCATATTTCTGCCATATTCCCCTTTCCCAGGCCAGGCTTCCAGCTCTGCCTCCTTCAGCTGTGCTTCCTCTTACCTGCTTGGTTACTTCCCCTTCCCTGCCCGGGCAGGTGGAGGAGTGATGGGGAGGAGGCTGCAGGCACCTGTGGAGATTTTCAAGTCACAACATGGGGATGCTACAGCTCATTAGAGCAGCTCCTTGTGGTCATCAGCAAAGTCAAATGAAATACAGTGGGGCACAACAGGTCAAGTAAGACAAGTCCTCTTCTCCCTAAGATTCACATAATCACCTTGTAAAACTGCTTGAAGGAACCAGTGCTTTCTCCTGCTCCGTTGTATGCACTGTGGTGAAAGCTTTCTTGACTGAAAAAGTGCAGGAGGAGCAAAAGTATGAATGCCTCCTCCTTTGCTGCCCCCAAAGTGTGTGTTTCAAAGCCTTGTCAGGACTGTTGTCATGCTAGCAAATGCAAGCACACACCATGGGCATATACCACAGGCCAAGCTGTCTCTCACAGTTTCCTCCATGTGGATTTGAGGACTGAGCAGGGGCTACTTCAACTTGACATTGTTGTTCCAGCCCCAAGCGAGCAGATGATTCTTGAAACGGCTGCAGGCAATAGTTAGTGTGCAAGCGGTCACCAGCAAAGCTTTGGCCTGACTGCTGCTAAGTCACTGAGGCTGGGAGGGCTTTCTGCACCTGCAAGCAGGCAGTACAGTGGGACACTGCAGGGCTAGGCTCTGTCCCAGAAGAAGGATTGCATGGCTTTGCTTTCAAACAACAACTGGGATGCGGTCACAGGCGGAATAAAACACTAAGAGAAAAAACTTGGCAATAGCCTGGCTGCTTGTGGGAGAGCCTCTGGCTTGGCGGATTACACAGAAGC